GAGAAGACGAAGAAGTTTTTTCCACGTCCATTTTTCGAATCTTTTAAATTTATTAGATTCTACGCATATGTAATTTTTATTGTTCATGTTAAATCGTTAAATATTTTTTGCCCAATGAATAAATGATAATGTGATTGGCTAATTTCGATGCTCTGAACGAATATGCTGACTATATATTAATATGTAAATGGTTGGGTCGTGTGTTTTTGTTATTATAAACACTCGGCGCAGCGGTATTTTATTTTATTTTTTTCATGAATTAGACTATTTTGTATAACGTATAAAGATAAATGATTTCATGGTTTAAACGTAGCGTACGCATTCGTAAACTTGAATTTATCTTGATTGCTTGAAAATGGACAGTGACGTCGTGGTTGAATGTAGAAGGTTGAGTTCCGTGCGTTAAAATGGCCTGAGGTGAATTTTTCTACGAAAAAAAAAAGTGGGGATGGCTGTCCTATTTATATGATTCGAATTTAATAAAATAGACTATTGTCTTGGCTTGAGCGATGTCATTTTTTTGCTCTTTGCGATGAAGAAGATGCAATCCAAACACAACTTAACTTTGATGTCGACGTGATGTTAAAATAAAATAAATGAATTTTCTCTCATAGCACGGCAAAGTGGTTGTGTAATGCAAAAGTTCGCTCAGTTGTGAGCTTGTTAATTTAGTGTGATGAATAAAGACTTTCTATGTTGGAGATACAAATTCGGAGATATCGCTGATTCCATCACCAATTAAGTTAGAATATTATAATTATAAATTTAATTAATGAAAAAAATAAATTTTAAGCAAAAGCAAATTCAGGCAATATTCATTGATAGGCAACTGTCCGAGACTAAAAGTTTATTCTAGACATTCATTCCTATGGTGTTATTAATATAAAGTTAATAGATAGATTAAAGGTTGTGCAAAATGTAGGGCATCATATAAATATAAACAATATAAGTTAAAATAGAAATTATATATATATATATATTATCAATACATTTCAATGATTCTAACTGAAAAAAGTGACAAATTAGCCAATCAGAGTTTTGTATCCGGACACCCATCCCAATACAATAATCTATATTATTATTGTTGCTATTGTTATTACTATTACCCAGCCTGATGTCCAGTTTTCGACTGTTTTAATTCTTTATATGAAGGAGAATTTTTATAAGCAACACCAGCTTTTATAGCAGCAGCCATACTAGTGAATAAAATGTTACTAACTTTTTCATGAACACTATATTGTTGATCAATCTCAAAAGCCAAATTTATACCAGACCTTGAAATTTCCCAAGCTTTATCCTGTAAGCCATAAACTTCATCAATATTTTTAATTTTTTTCGATTGGTTTGGTCACGTGAATCCGCCCATCTTTCCTTAAAAGGAAAGATTACTGGTGGCCAAATTTCATTTTTAATAGTAAAATCGTGCAACTTCAAACCACTAAGGCTTTTTTTTTTATTAATAATATTGAAAAAAGCTCTCTATTACATTGTTCCTTAAGTCCATTAGATTGCAAAAATAGAGAGTTTTTTCCACTTCCAAATATAGTTATTGAGCCTTAACATTTTAAAGATTGCCTATTTTTTTGATGTCTTTAGATGATCTGCACTATACTACTGCTTCTGGTGTTGTTATTGCTGCTGATGTTGTAGATGTTGATGCTGATATTGATGTTGATGCTGACATTGATGTTGATGCTGACGTTGGGGATGATGATGACTCCAATGATTTTGTTAGCGATGACGATAACAGCAATTGTGATGATGGTGACTCAAATGATCTTGATGATAACAGCAACTTTGATGATGGAACTTTTTTTACAACTTCTATCAGAATATCTAGTGCCTTATCTAAAATTTTTAATTGCTGGTATTCAAAATTATCATTGCTGTTATTATTGTCGTATTCCATATTATTATTCACGTTGAAATTTAAAAAAAATTTTTTTTTGTGTAAGGATCTAATCTGATATACACTCACCTGCCAAAAGTATCCAGATACTTTTGGCAGGTGAGTGTATATCGTGTCACCGGTGTCACCAATGAATATCATCGCTATTTTGGGACTTGAAAATTTGGCCACGAGGCGCAGCATTTGATGTCTTTAGATGATACGCACTATATTAATTAATTAAAAATGCATAATGATTTCTTAAAAGAAAAGTACGATCCAAAAAAACGGTACAAATGATAATGAATGATAATAATAGTAAAAATGTTTTTTAGCATTTTTAGTTAAAAAATGATCAATTCAATTGCCAATTAGTCAATAATATAATGATGCTTTTCTTATAAACAAATCAACAATATGATCTTCATCACATTAACTAAATATTAAATGTTTTATTTTATTTTTGCCAAATATGGTGAAAACGTTGATCGCGCCAAAAGCCGAAAAGGCCAAGACCGGCTAAACGCAAATCGGCGAGAAACCTGCACGAAGGCCACGTGCCTTACTGATTTTGGAAGGGGGTCATGACACGGAAAATGTTTCGTTTCTTATTTGTTTTAATTAAAAATAAATACAACCTTTTTGTGTAAAGAATTAATTGTCTATGATATTAAATCACAAAATATTGCTTAGTCCTACAATTCGGGAGTTAATAAAGGCTCTCGCCATTTTATAATATTTTTTTTTATTTAGCCAATCAACAATGCTGATTGATGAAAATGTTTTAAAATCTTTTTGGTTACGCCAATCACGTGAATTATATATTAGAAAAAATTAGACTAATTTGTTATTTTGAAATTTGGTGGCGTAGCATGGTTCCTAAATTCTGTCAATTAAATAACTGGTTCAAAAATTAAATAACCAGTTCAAACATAAAATCACATGATTAATTTATGGTTTTACAAATGACATTATATAGCCAAATTTAGATAGCACATTCGAATTAGCTTTTAGGCTGTTCCCTTGTGTGCTGAATTGATGAATGTTTAAACCAAGATATAAATAAATGCTGTTTGTTTCATAATTCAAGTTAAAGTCGTCATTAACTCTGCAATGAGCCTTGCATACCGGTTGGTTGGTTAAATAACTTTTCGACAAAGTTCAAATGACCAACAAGCATCTGTTAACTAATTAACAGTTATTTAACCAATTAACGAACGGTTCAAATAGTTCAAAAGAAGATTTGAACCAATTAAATTGCCAACACTGGTCATTAGGCGCATATATATAAAATGAAACTTTTTTGTGCAGCATGTTTTAAATATTCGAAAATTACACAAATTGAGATATTAGGAAACAATGGATGATGATGAAACAACAAAGAACTATTTACATATTAAGTTTAGGTTTAAAAAATCCAAAAAGAGGAGGTGCAAGTAATTCTATTTCTACTACGTTCCATGATTCTATATACAACAGTTAGGAATTGGAAATTGGAAAATGTGTTCCTAATAATAAATAAAGAAATTAATTTCTTTGTTCTTTAATTAATAATAATAATAAAGTAATAAATATAAACAATTGACGATGTTTGGACTCAATAGATAGTGTTAGTAGTATCTATGACACAAAAATACAAAAGCGTGTGTTCCAATGTTTTTCCGGAACTGTAAATAAACTTTATATATAAACGATTTTTCTCAGCAAAAAAAATAAATTTCACCCTATTACTATTTATTTTTTATTTTTTTTTTTCGAATTTCATTTTTTGTATTACACATTTGAAACGTAATCAATTAAACAATCGTAAACTATCATCAATTACATCAATTCGATTATATTGTTTCTATAAATAAAATCAGAATAAAAAATTTTCTTTTATCCTAAAATTTTTCTTATTTTTCTTCTTTATTTTATTTTTGTATAGTTATAAAAAAAAATTTTATTATTTAAAAATATGTCATCATCATCATATATCAATAATACACGTCGTCGTTCTACACCTTCGGTTTTCATTGATTCCATTAGTGAAGAAGACATAAAATTACTTTTATCTTCAAAAACTCCAAATATTATTTCAAAACGTCGTGGATCGGCTGTTTCTATTAACTCTATAACATCAACTACAAGAAGAAGTTCAATTGTAATGATAGATTCCACCACAATAAAATTATCCAATAATAATAACGATAGTAATAAATCAATGATAAATAAAATTAAAGCAAATGCTAAATTAACGACAACGACATTATTATTACCAATGGAAATCAATGATTCATTTCAAGATTTTACCAAGTTTAACGATTTTTATTTTCAAACATCATCAACTTCCTCATCGTTATCATCTCAACCAAAACATTCTTTATCAATAAAGGAAAATAACTATCATAAAAATAACAATTCATCATCATCTATTTCATCTACATCATCATCTACATCATCCTTATCATCATCAATTAATATCAGCAGCAATCTTCATTATAACACTCATTCCGAATATAAACATCGTACAAAATTAACATCACAAAAACTATTAAATTTCTTTGGTGCAAAACCTCCAATTGACATTTGTGTAAGAGAAATAGAAAAAGAAGGATTGAAAGCGATTTTAAATTCCAAAATACCATTATTTTATTTCTTGTATTCATTATTGGAAGAATATTCGTCAGAAAATCTATTTTTTTTTCTAAAAGTTGAACAATATGAATCAAAACAATATGATAACTCAACACAACAATTGGTAATGGCTCAACAAATTTTTGACATCTATTTAACAAGAAATTCACAGTTTGAAGTGAATATTGATGACAGAGTACGTAAATTAACAATTGCAGCAATAAAATCTGAGCGTGATTTAAGATATTGTTTTCGTGATGCCAAGCAAGCAGTATTTGTATTATTAGAGAATAGTTTCTCTAGATTCATTAGAAGTAATTTAGCTGATACTATGAGGAAAGAAATTGGCGAACATACCGCTCATTATTCTAATGAAGCTCGGGAGCTTTCTGTTGGTTGGCTATTTAAATATCTAGAAAAACTCGGCCCCATTGACGTAAATGGTTATGTTACTGAACATTTTAATAATCTTGGTAACAACAATAATAATACTAGTAATAATAATTCAACAAATTTTCTTGTACAAAAATTTTATAAATCAATTAATAGTAATGATTATAACCAGTCTCTACCATTATCACCTACCTTTTCAATATCACGTAAGAGAAATCTAATGATAAAAGATACGACATTGGAATTTATTAAAAATTTATTAGAAATTGACATTGAAGAATTACTTTATTATGAATTTCTACATAATAAGAATAATACCAATACCAATACCAATACCAATTATATAATAAATACCAGTAACCAAAATAATATTGGCAATAATACATTACAAAATTATCTAACACCAGAAATTGGTATTAAGAATTTTTCGAATATTATTATTGATAACAGTAACAATCAAGGATTTAATCAAGTTTTTGATTACGAGGGTTGGGAAATCGATAATAGTAATAGTAATAGTAATCATTATAGGTGTAATTACTCGGGATCAGAGAGAAACAACAGCAACAGTAATATTTATGGTGGTGCAAATGGAAAGAAACAGGAATTAAAGTATAAAAAGACAAAGGATTTAAAAGATCATTTAATAAGAAACTTTAGTTCAAAAAATCAAATTTAATTGGATAATGATCATAAAACGAAAAATTTACACCTTTTTGTATCAAAGAGTTTCCCCCGAGAAAAATATTTTTCAATCTTGTATATTTTATATATAGAAAAAAAAATTGTTAGTAAAACAAATTATTTTTTTATTATTGTACATATTGTAGATTAGATATGTTTCTTTATTGATGTTCTTCTTTATTAATTTTCAGAAAGAAGGGATTAAGCACCAATAAAAATAATAATTAAATGATCACACAAATGAGTACTGTTTGTCCCTTCATCTAAAGCTGACCATCACTTGTTGATGATTCACCATTGTTCTGCTTATCGGAACTATTGATGATATATTTATAATGAGAAGATAAATTGTTCAAACGATCTTAAAAAAAATCATTCACAAGAAATTTCTCAATCGACTATATTTCATCAGGTTAATTTCTAACAAAAGTTTTTAAAACAGATGTCGAGTATTATACCCAAAAGTACCCAGTGCCGAAACAACAAAAGTATGATAATAGGCTAAAGAAAAGAAAGGTTAAAGTAGTCATAAATATGGTGCAACATTTTATCTTATTGTTATTAAACGATAAAGTCAGGATTGAAGAATGTATCCAAATCTCGTTTTTTATTAATTACATATAACAAAAAGATATTTCATCCCATAATAAATAAAATATAACAATATCTACAACATTATATATTTTACTATTTTAATCCTACTAAAAATAATTATTATCTTTATCACATATTATCATTTTGATCTTACATATCTTCCAACAATTAAAACATGATCATGTTTATATGGTTCCAAAGTCATTTGCTTTTATGTTCTTCTTGTAATCGTTCAATTTCCTTGGCAAAGACTTTAGTAGGATCTATGGTGAAATCAATACAATTTGCTTTATTGAGATTACAATATGTGCATTATTTTTAGATAATGATGTGCATTCAGTGCAATAATACAAGCTTGATCGGGTTGTGCCACGTCTGCAAAAATCACATCTACCATTCCAGCCAACATGTGATACTTGTATGAGTGTCATGAATCTTCAATTGTTGTTATAATATAACATTGACCCTTTTTGGCTATATTTACTAAATCAAATCCTGATCTAGATGAAAATCCAACTATTTGTGCGAATAAATAATTAAATAATTATAATTATACATTCCTAATAATGAGACCAAATCTCACACTTACAGGACAAACTATATCAGCAACATGTCAACAGTGGTACCAGATGCAGTACCTAGGTATAATACTTTAGATTTAAGAACTATATAGATATGATCAATGCCATCTAGGAAACCAGCTACCAACTTGAATCTAAATGGATTCCAAACTC